CCCCAATATTACATCAAAATGATCAATGTTCAATGGCAGTAAATCAATAAACAGATGCATATCCCCAACAACAGATGAAATCAGATACGGGGGAGGTACTACTCCAACCCCATTAAACACAAATTCAGGCAGACTAGGTGGACGGAAAACAACTTGCTTGGTCACACAGTCAATAGTGGCATGATGTTTTGTTAACCAGTCCATCCCCAATATAACATCAAAATGATCAATGTTTAATGGCAGTAAATCAATAAACAGATGCATATCCCCAACAATAATTTCACATGCGGGGTACATATAAGCACATGTCATGGACCCTCCTACGGGTGATGATACGGCTAGCAGATAGTTCATGGGTGCTAAGGGTCTATTCAATTTCCGTGAGAAAGCATGCGATACATAAGAATGTGTAGACCCCGAATCAATCAATACATATGCATTTTGTGTACAGATAGAGAGGATACCTGACACAACGGTCTCAGTATTTTGCACGTCTCCCGGTACTAGGGCGAACACTCGGCCCTGCCTCATGACATTGTTCTCAACCCGAATCAATCAGTACATATGCATTTTGAGTACAGATAGAGAGAATACCTGACACAACGGTCTCGGTATTCTGCACATCTCCCGGTACTAGTGCGAACACTCGGCCTTGCCTCATAGGCTCTTTTCTGGTAGCTTTAGGGTTCGAACACTCGGCCCTGCCTCATGGGCTCTTTCCCGGTAGCCTTGGGGTTCGGCTTTGGTGCTACAGTTGATGCTGCTGTGCTTGGTGCAGCTTTACTCCTGGCCTGCGGCGCAGAGGGGCAGTCTTTAACCATGTGGCCCACCTTGCCACACCTGTAGCAAGCTCCAGATATTCTGTAGCAAACCCCTTTGTGCTTCTTGCCACACTCGGAACAGGGTGGTATAAATCCACTCCGCTGACTGGGGCTAGTTGTCGACCCCGTATTCTGTTTCTTGTTGGCTGGGTTGTGCTTGCCTTTCTTGAATTTGAAACCCTGCCTTTTACCATGCCATTCAGTTGTTGGCGTTTCAGATTGTTTCACTACTGCAATGTTCGACTCGGCCATCAATGCCCGGTCGAGAACACCCACAAAAGTCGGTAGTTTCAAAACATTTATCCGGTCCAGTATTGCCACATTAAGGCCACCTTCAAATTTTCTGGCCTTCTTATATTCAGTATCCACCATATGCGGTGCATATCTAGCAAGCTCGGTGAACTTCGTTTCATATTCAACAACGGACATTGTGCTCTGTCTCAGCTGTTCAAATTCAGTCACCTTTCTGTCCCTTACACACTGAGGGAAGTACTTTTCAAAGAAGGACTCCTTGAACTGAGCCCAAGTCATAACAATGTTTGTTTCACGGATTAACATCCACCACCTTCTAGCCTCTTCTTGTAGGGTGAAGGTAGCTAACAATACCTTGTTCGCTTCCGAGCACGGAAACACTTCAAATAATTTCTCTGTTTCCAGAACCCAAGCTTCAGCTTTTAACGGTTCAAGGGCTCCCTGAAAGGATGGCGGTTTCATTTTGCTGAACTTCTGGGTCAAAGCAATTATGTCTCCATCATTCACATTCGCATTAAGTTCCGGCTGTACCGGAGGAGGAGGATGAGGAGGCTGTTGGTTCTGTTGTTCAAGTCTAGCAGTTATCAGTTCTATCATTCTTTCCATTCTTTCCATTCTTGCCTCAGTAGATGAGGACTCAGGTTCATTTGCATTATCCATTTCACTATAAGCAGTTATAACAGTTTTAAACATAAGCAGTCATTTGTTTAACAGTTTACCACATTAGCATATATTCAGTCATAACATAATCACACACTTATCATGCTCATGAGATGCCCTAATAACTTTTCTAGGACACCCTATAGCTCATTTGGACACGTGTGTGCGGTATAACTCGTGGTAAGTATCGCTCTGATACCACTCTGTCACGACCCAAACCCGGCCCTATGGGTTTAGCACCGTAACCGGCCAGTAATCCGAGATTACCGAAGGCCTACAGAACAGTAATACAGTAAAACAGAGCACAGGGCCTGGCGGAAGCCAATACAGTAAATAAATAATGTCCATTGAGCTGTGACAGTCTGTATGCAAAAAGGCTTTTCATACATTATACAAAAACAGTACAGAACAGTATACACAATATTCACATCCATTTAACTAGGGACTCAACCCCACATAACAGTACAGAAAACATTCCGTCTGTACAACACAGTATACAAAATTAACAGTCACACAGTACAGGGACCTAATCCCTGTATAACAGTACAGTAAACAGTCAGTCTATACAAAACAGTGAAACAGTACAAAAAGGGGGAAATTCTAAAACACCCCTAAGCCTTAACAGTAGGCTCGGAACCTCGCAGTGAGGCACAAAGGCTGGCGTGACAAAACTGGAGTAACCCTGACGCCTCTAGCTGCGGTCTGGTGCCTGAACACCTACATATATATATGAGCAGTGAGCTAAAGCCCAGTGAATAACATAAAGCGTAAAGGGGTTTAGAATGAATGTCCTTACAGTATGAAAACAGTTCATTTCAATCAGTAATTCAGTTGCTCAGTACAGTAAACAGTCATATGTGGTACATCCATTAGCATAACAGTAACAGTAGGTCTTGAAAGACCGAACAGTAATGATGGCCATCAATCAGTAAACAGTAGTGGTTCCACGAGGGAACCGACAGAGAATTCTGTCGCAGTAACAGTAACAGTAAACAGTAAGTACTAAGGATGCCACAGTACAGTTCAGAAATAAAGGACATACATTCATTCAGTAAATAATACCAGTTCAGTAAACAGTTCAGTCCAGTATTCAGAAGATAATCAGTTGAACATATCTTTACACAATTGTTACTCACAGAGTTCTGGGCTACTGTTTGGTGTCTCCATGTGTCACTTGTAGTTCAATCCCTTATTTGGCCCCATTTTTGCATAAATTGGAA